CACTTGCCAACATCTTTGCTCCATGGGAAACTCCCTAATTTTCTCCAGGTTAAAATACATCAGGCTTTTTTTTTCTTCTCTAGATAACCTGTATTTCACATGTTCCCATATGATATATCAGGTTTTGTTACTCTCTTCAGTCTCCTGTTTTCCCAAGAAAAGCTTATTCTTTTCTACACAGTTGTATTTTGATAAGTTTTTCTGACTTCTCCCTTTACATTTAATTTAGAGTCTTTGTCTTTGTCATATCAGAAGTAAATTAATGATTACAGTGGCTCAATGTCTGAGTACACACATTCTGAAGGTACTTTTGGTAGATCTGAGATCTGGTTCTAATTTTTTTCATCTAACAGTTGGTGTCATACCAATTACCCACCTGCCTGTAAGGTCACATCACCTGGGAGCAAATCTATTTTCCCAGCTATCATTCTTGCAGGGGCATCACTTCGCTCCCTTCTCCTGCATTTCCTCCTGGATATTTTTATAGCAAAATCATTTACCTACAGTTCTCCCACTCTTTTCCTTCAGTGCAAATTACTGATTTTTCCTACAGCAGGCTCCAATTCTCAAGTGTGTGTCTGTTACATCGAAGGTAAAATAAAACCTTTGGAAAGTGATTTTGCTGAGATGTTAATGCAGTCCGGGTATTCTACGCAACCCCTGGCTCTAACAGTTATGGTTGGCAGGCTCCTGGGACAGAAGCAAAAATTAAAATCTTTCTGCATTCCCAACATTTATTTGAGTTATTCTTCCAAAACCAAAAATGATTGGGGTTGCAGTTGCCGCTGGGAGGGTAAATAATTGCTCACTGACCTATCAGCAAATCTATCTACATGAGCTCTCTAAAACTTATGGCTCTTAGTCATCTTTTGTAGTAACACGGTATCAGGGACTTTGTAATATCAAATAGTCTCCAAGCTGCTTTAAGTTATTCTGTTTCCCATAATTGGGAAGCAGAAGTTGATAGCATGCCCAAATCTATTTTCATGGCATATGTCCAAGATAAAACTGAGCCAAGAATCTGTTCTTTAACTATCAAGGATCTAAAAACTTCCGGAAAGAACATGCATCATCACCAACCCTCGCACAAACAGAGCACGCCTACATGGCTGTACTGCAGAAAAACACACCTCTCCTCCCAGCTACCAGGAGGCTGGATGGGGCAAGTGTCTTGCAACACCGGAAGCGTAAGCAATATGTGAAAATACAGGTTGGCAGTGGTGTCAGTCCCCTTTCCATCCTGTCTTTTTTCCCTTTTTTTGACACTAGGAAAGCTTGAGACCGAATGTAGGAGACATCCAGAGTCCTAGATGGCTAACTTTCTTCTGAACCACTGGTCAGAGCCATACTTTTTATCGGTCTAAACAATCAAGATTTGAATTTGCCTTTCAATCTCCAAGGCAAATCTACAGTTATTCCTTTTTATTTCACCTGCTTCTTTCAAATAAGTTTAATATTCTAGCATTAATAGGAGATTCAGAACAATGGTCTTCTCTGTCTTCCATTTAATTCTGCCTGTTACTTGTAAAAAAAAAGCCTGACGGTGTCTTCTGACTCCTCTCTGTCTTAGGTTATTTCCATCATCTACTTTAAAATTCTCTCCTAGTGTTATTTCCTCTAAATGATACTATGCTCCATAAGTCTCCAGCTCACAAAACCAGAAGTTAACATTATCTTTGCTTGCTTTGACTGATTTAATTAACAGCACGTATTATAGAAGGTCATAAATATTTATCATTTCCAAAACATTCCTTTTATTGCTGTTGTGCAGTACTGGAAAGGATACGCTAAGGTAAAATGGCTTTGCCTCTACTGAATACAAGAATTTTTCACTTCACCAGAATGAACACATTGGAATTAGACAACAGAAATATCAAGAAAGTCTTTTATTCATGGCTCTGCTACTCAGAGGCTAAAAGTAAGATTCTCCGGGAAGGGGAGTGATCTTTGTCTATACATATCAGCAAATCTCTAAAGGATGGAATACACAAAGCTACTTCCAGATGACCTCCATCCAAGCTAAGAAATTCATTAACCATCTTCAATTTAAAATAAAATGATTGAGAAAAATGTTGCTTTTACAATATTATTCACTTATCTTTCTTTGAAAGCCTCAGTAATTTATATATCACTGCACTTGAAACACAGGTGCTGAGATTCTATTTGGAGAACATGATCCTCAGTGAACGTTTTGATCCTCTTTTCCCTACCTATGTGAAGGCCGCTGCTATCAGAATGCATTTATGCTCTTGATAATTCTCAGGTCTATAAAACCACGTGGATTTGTTCACTTGCATATTGTCAGAAGCAACTGCAAAAGCCAGCCCTTTCTTACTGTCCATAAAAAGCTACTGTTCCTCTTAAGATGTAAAACCAGACACAGAAAAACTCACCGTTTGTAAAAGAAGCCAGACCTCAAAACCCTACAACATGGGCTAGAAATTCTTTTTGCTATTAATCTCAACTTGTTGTACTGGCCTACATTAACTTAATCTGCACCACTGTGTATTCCCTCTGAAATAAACAGTGACACTCTGGGCTGAAAATGCATATGGTCCCCCCGTGTTGGCCAGGTTGCTGCTTATCAACTTACAGAGCAGATCAAAAAGCGAACTAAATAAGGTAATAAACTTATATTCTTGCCAAATGCAGTTTTCAGCTATTTGTGTACATTTGTCCCCAGAGGAATTCTTGAAAGAGTGCACCTGTGTTTGAATTTGTAACTACCGCTGGGGGAGGCTCAGTGGCACTGTTTCACCACTCACACACAATGAACTGACTCTGTGGAAAGTACACCAAAAAATTCGAGTGTATCCAGCAATCCTGGTCCACTAAAAAATACATTTCAAAAGGGTCTGATTTTCACAAAAAGATGTTCAGCAATTTCTGAAGATGTTTTGTCATTAACAGAAGCACCAGTTTCACTGGCTGCTTTCCATTTAACTTACATGTCAGTATTTTGACAAATGGGGCACATGACATACCTTACCTCTTTTCTGTGGCTCCCCAAACTCAACCTCCACAGACTTATCTACTGAGCTACATCATTCTGAGGAGATACAGGTCCCATAACTGCTGACAAGTTTCTATCTTCCAGTCAATGAACATAGACTAGACTGTAGATAATTTCTTATTAGCTAGATCTGTTCTGCCTTATCGAAGTTACATGTGTCTTCAGTGTAAGCAGTAATTAAATATGAGATCCCATCACTGACTAGCCACTGCTTCCTCCAGATTCCTCTGAGACTTCTTTCTAATGATTATTATCATGTACGGCACTGGACTGTACCACTTTACCAGAAAGAACCAGCCCCAGATCCAAACATTCATGTAGGCATCACATACTACAAGGAATGACAGACACTCTTGACTTAGTTTTTACAGCGGCTAGGAGACTGAATGCATTATGTACAGCTCAGCATGCGGAAACAGATTTTTGGTGTTATTTCTCAAATTATATCTTCTCTCAGGAAATGCATGCATCTCAAGACCACAAACTGGCTTCTTGTATGAACCGCAGATTCAACCCAAGTTACTTCATGCCCTTAGGCACTTGAATCACTCCTTCATAGGGATGACAGTCGCTCTTACACAGTTGCCTGAACAAATGATTATGGCAGCACCCATCCCGTAGATAGCAGTGTAGTGACTTGAGGTCTTGCCCAGAAGCTGAAAGACCTGGGTTGTGACATAGTTGTGACCCACAACCTCCAGAGCACAGAAGAGAACCTGAGACTTACAGGATGGACAAGTCATGAAAGCATTACAGAGAAAATGATGAATTACCTGATTATCATCATCCTATCCTCCTCCTCCTGACACAATTTTGAATGAAAGTGGCTGTGGCTTCTCTGCTCTAGATGGATCACAGTATTGTCAGTACATGCCAGTTATATTCAGAGCATGTTAACAGATAAGAGAGAGCTTGGTACAGAGACACCTAATCTGTGAATCTCACATGGCCTGAAAGGACATAGATTAGTCAAAATGGTAGTGGGTAGACTAAGCTTGAGTAACTTCACTAGAAAAAGCTCATAAATACTTGGGCACTCATAGCCTCCCTAAGTTGTAACACAATTTTTTCTTACTCTCCCCTCTTTAAAATAAGTTAGCCTGCTCTATGTAAAAAGTATAAAGAGGCTTGATTATATGAAAATGTACAAGGGCTTGCTTCACAGGGGACGTACGTCAGACCGACAACAAGTAGATAGCTGGTGACTTCCAGCAGGTGACACAGAATGGCAAAATTTAGTTCCTATTCTGAAATTCCCTGCAGAGGCAGCTCAGCCCGTTGCCTGTAACAGGAGTTTACTATAACTGACTAACTCAGCTGAGCATGTGGACTGTTATGAATGTTACATACCATAAACCCTCTGAGGGCTAAAATGGCCTCATCGTGCTTTTCTTCAAACCCATAAAAACCTTTAAGAGGTAAAAATTTTGATGAGCTATAATAGATATGATGAGAGACAAGAAAAGGCAACATCTGTTATATCCAGCAATAAGGGTATCATTCTTACAAAGGTTCTCACTCACCCACACGAAGCCTATAATTAGACGCTGTGTGGGCAGGTCCGCACCCACCGCTGTGGGACTGATTCCAAGTGAAAAGAGCCGGTAGCAACCAGGATTTGACAGGGAGCTGGCTGAACGGAGCTTGCAAAGCAGCAACCCTTTCTGCGATCAGAGTGGTAAGTGGCTGAAAACTTGGTAGGGTTTTGGGGCAAGCGTCCTTGCTAACTGCTGGTTGGGGCTGGAGGACTGTAAGGACTCCTGCTTACAAAGAGACAGACTGAATGGTATGGCCTGAGTCAACAGGTGAAAAGCAAACAGCAGCACTCAGACGTCCTGAGGAGACCCTGGCAGCAGCTACAAGGCTTAAAACTTTTCAATTCCAGGAAATCCCCGTAGGAGATGAGAATTTCTGGGCTGTGATAATGTAATGCAGCCAGGAAGACAGGGTGGATTCAGCAGGGCTAAGGTAATTTAAGACTGAATACATCCCTATGTTTTTAAAGGAAGAACAAAATGACGGTATTTGCACATGGAATCTGGACTCTTCTTTTTTTTTTTTTTTTTTTTTTTTTTTTTTTTTTTTTTAGGGAAATGAGAAAGCAAATAACAGCTGAAATGAAAAAGGAGTATAAAATATGCCATAAAATCAAGCATTATCAGGAACTACAAATTTAAAGGGAGAATGGAAGTGGGGAAGAATTACAGAGCTGTTTTATGAAAGAATGTGGCAAAGGAGATGCATTTTGGTAGACTCCTATTTAGAGAGAAAATTGAACTAGTCATCAGCAAGGGTTATTCCGCACTTCAGAAATGGCAAAAGGAAAATAGTGTTAGAGTTGACTAAATTTAACAGTAACCTAATCGTGAAGAGAAACAGTGAAGGTCCTCCTGGAAAGAGAGACAAGTGGCCAGATGGTGGCTGCAAGTCAGATGAAGGCTCCCTAGTTAGCACAGAATTGGCACAACCACCTCCCAAAACTGAATCATGTTTGTTGGTTTCTTTATAATGCTTGTAGTCAGATTAAATGATCATAATTGTCTCTGTAAATTTAAATGTATGAATACCAGTGTAGGGTCAAGGTGAGAACCCTATTATTTAGGAAATCAGAGCAGATACTACACAAAGTCCTGAAGTGGGAAGCCAAGGACTTGATATTTAATAGGTTGCCTTTTGCCATTATCTCACAGTTTCTTTACAATCTTCACCATTTCTAAGCAACTGACCTAAACACCTTAAAAGCTCGAATCTGATTGAATCCTCCAATGATGAGTATACGTACAACTTTGCATACTTACTAACCTTTTACTGGAGTGCTTCCCACATTAAACACCTCAAGAAAAGAATTTGCATCACTAATCTGAGTATTATTATTTCGAGTTCAGTTTAAGAGGTCACAAGATACTCAGAAAACTCTATGACCCCAGACCTGACATTTGTGAGTCCTGCTTTGCCTTGGTTACGACTTTGGATTGGGTGGTTTGGAGAAGGACATCTACAAAATGTTCTGGACATCTTTTTTCCACTATAAAATTGATTTATCTAATTTTAAATTTCTGGTTTTCAGAGCTGTTCAATTAAGATCAGTTTCCTCCAGAATTTAACTGTATGCAAAACTTGGTGATCCAGCAAGAAAGGAGACTGGCTAAAGCCACAATGTTCTTGTACTTACTTGTTTGTATTGAAGCAGTGCCAAAGAGCCTTCATCCAGAATCATGACCCTACGATGGGCTAGTTATGGGGAGGAGCTGGAGGTGAACTTAAGTCTTTTAGCAATTATGCTAGTTACTCTGCTACCTGAATTACATCTTATGACCAGCACTGTGTCCAGTACTGCGCACACCAGTTTTCAGTATTTGATAGTCTGAACAAATAACGTGGCTGAGCTACCAAACAGGGATTGTGCCTACAAAAGATTATATTCTTTTTTTTACACTTGTGAAGAATGGGCTGAACAACAAAATTATATTCAAACAAACAAAAATATTATAGTGTACTTTCAGGTATTTGTATAGGCAGAAACCATACATGATCCCTTTTTATGAGGCCTAAAGATACTATTGTAATTTTTTCATAAGTTTCTTTTAGCATTTTGGGCAATGTTACAATGCCTGGGGGTGCAGTTAGTAAACGTTCTCTAAATGCCTCAGGCTCAAAGCCATGCAAGGATTTGCACAGTAGCAAGAACTGAGTTTGTAAATCCAGGAGTCGCCTTCTAGTTCTTTACCCGTTGTAGTCTGAGATGCAAGAATTACTCAATTTTTAATCTACTTAATCCATGCGTTTAATTTTTAATCTACTTAATTGTTGTAATAGTGCATGTATATAATTTTAATTTCTTAAGCAAAATATCAAGTAGCAGAACAGATCTTATTAATATCTGAGTATCATGAGACTTACAATGTTGATCTTATAAGAGTGTCATCTTAGTCTGGCATGTCATGTAAATGAATTCAATTACACAATTTAATCTTTTAACAGTTTTTCACAATTTTTCTCTCATGACTGAGTATCCTTTGGAGACTTTCATTATTCTGCCTCAGGCTGATATTGGACTGAAACTCCACAGGTCTGAAATTCCTCAGGTCATTCATCCAATTTTTTTTACCTGTCAGTATATCACGTTTTCTTCAGACCACGTCTCTGGAATTTTCTTACTAATCAATAAATTAACAAAAAATTGTCAATAGGGTGGGGGGTGGTTTATAGCTTTTTTATTTTTTTAAGGATTTCAGCTATGAGTTACCAAAGTCCAATGATTTTTAAATATCTAGTTCCAGCAGCTCTTCTACAGCAAATCTAGAATTATTGTCTGAACAGAGTATCGCCATGAATACTTTTTTTCTGGTCTGAACAGCAGCTTATTTTGGTAAAGACAGAAAAAGAAAAGTGTAAACATTTCACTTCAGCTGCATGATTGCATTTTGCTCCATTTTATCTAGAAATGGACCAGAAACACTGCACCTTTTTACTCCTTCCATGCATTAAATATTATTCCTTCTTAATTCATGTCTTAATTCCACTGGCCATAAATGCACATGTTGGCATTGCCATTTTCCTTATGAAATATCTGCGACATTCCCAGTTACCAATATTTCTGGGTTTTGTCCTCTTGTATTCTTTCAGTTTCTTTCACTTTACCAAGCTGCCTGTAGGTTGTTAATCCATTTTCTATTACTTTTTTTTTTTTTTTTTATTGAATCTTCATTAAAGAAAACAGTGGCCATTTTGTATCCTGTTACTGCTCACCAGGAAGAGAAAGAAGGGTGATAAGAGAATAGTGAGTAAAATTCTTAGCAAATAGATTAATAACATAATTTGGTTTAAATTTTTAAAAAAAATCTATTTACTGCAGTGAGATTATTAGGTTACAAATGCTGATAATTAAAAAACCTTAAGATTTGGGCTTGCTTCTCAAGAATACACTGTGTGTGTTTGTGTGCATGTCCTGAGAAGGGTGTGTGGGTACATGTGTGGGACTTAAAAAATAAACTGTTGACAGTCATTATACAGACTTTCTCATATCTCACAAACCATCTACTAGTGGCCCACAAATCGCAGGTTGAGCAACAAGGGCTTGCTGGCCTATTGTGAAGGAAAAATACTGCTCCAGTGTAGGTTTTACACATTAGGAAGTCACTCTATGAGCATTTGCTTCTTTTTTTTTTTTTTTCCTCTGAGCTGAACAGCAATTTAGAAATATTTGGTGCAGGTTTTGCTTCCAAAGTGCACGTCCTCCGTCCACTGAGTACAACTGAGCTCAGCAGTCAGCAGTCTTCTTGCCAGCAATACTGGCTAGGCATTCACAAACAAGTCCTTCCAGTTCCTCTTGTTCAGCACTAAGCCTCTTTAAATGCCCAGTGAAAGAATTTTCCCCTGTCAAATGGTATGCTGCTTCAACTCTTTTTTACAAAGATACCATTTCTTAACACCTTTATAATATTTTTGTCGTTAACATAGACTAATATAGAAAACCTACCCACTAAAAAGTTATCTTCTACCCAAACTATCTCTCTCTTAATAATAGAATGAATCAACATTCCCCCCAAAATAAAAAAAAAAATAAAATTTTTGCATCTTCCATTATTCACCTAGTTACATGTTCATTTCTATTTTCTGCCTTCAAAGAAAGGACCTCTGAAAGAAAACGACTCATCACTTTTATTTGGCAATAAGATCCCACATTTTCTAAAATCATTACTCATTATCTACCTTTCAGATTTTGTATCTGAAAAGAAGTTCTACTATCTTTCTTGCTCTTGTGTTCTCAACATGGACTATACACCTGCTGTGTATGAGAGCTCTGCATTAAATATAAATAAATCCTACTGAGCTCCCCGATTCATTTGATGAGCCACAGCTTCTCTGGTTCTTTCTTGTACCATTATCAGGTTCCCATCATGATGATGGGTACTCTGTGACAGCTATTGGCAGGTACTCTTACTGCTAGACTTCCTCTTCACTTTCCACTCTTCTCCAGTCTTCTCTGTTAACTACATCAATGGATATATTAGGCTGAGGAACAGAATTGTAGTTCCAAGGAAATTTCACCATTCCTCTCAGCTCTTCACTTTGCAACTCCAGCTCACTGCTTATTCAGCCTTGTTCCTCTACTCTACCACATAAACAACAAGCTATTGCCACACAGGGACTTCAGGAGTTGATTAGAGTGCTCAGAGACACACTCTCTGTACTCTGACCTACCCCATCTGGCTTGGTTAGAAAACCACGTCATTACAGCCAAGTAATCCAACTTCTACCAAAAAAAAAGTGCATAGGTGGATCACATATGCCTCCTGCCTGACATTTGATACAAAAGCTTCAAGGACAAATTCTGTGAAATACCCAATTGTCTCTTGTTTTGGAGAGCATTTGGTAGTGTCAGTAAAGCATTGGTTTTCTAGCTTTCTCATGTTGCCAAATCTCTAAAAATATCCCTTGGAGACAGCTTCCTATATAGCAAGATTATACTTACTAAATTTACCATTTTTCCTTAATTTCTTCTAATGAGCTATCTCAGTGGCCAGGGGTGACATCTCAAAATTTTTGCTTTACCAATATGTTGAAAATGAGAGGCAGGTGCCATAGGAAACATCTAGAAGAAGAGGAAATTGAGACCAGTGAACAAAGCAAACAGGAAGGGAGAACAGTGAAACACATGGAACCCCTGCCATGGGAAAACCAAGTAAATAAAGCATAGAAGAAAGGAATCCAAATAAAGCCAGAGATATGAAGGTGCATAAATGCAAAGAGCCCTAGGTAAAAGCAGTAAAAACAGCCTGAAGATAGAATCATAGAAACATTTAGCTTGGTTGGACCTGATGATCTCAAAAGATCTTTTCCATTATCCTAACATTGCCAAGTCCAGCACTAAACCATGACCACACGTGCCACATCTACAGTTTGTAAATACCTCCAGGAATGGTGACTCAACCACTTCTCTGGGCAACATGTTCCAATGCTTGACAACCCTTTTGGTTGAGAAATTTTTCCTGATATCCAATCTAAACCTCCCCTGGCACAAGTTGAGGTCGTTCCCTTATGTCCTATCCCTTGTTACTTGGGAGAAGAGACAAACACCCACCTCTCTGCACCCTCCTTTCAGGTAGTTGTAGAGCAATGAGGTCTCGCCTCAGCCTCCTCTTCTTCAGACTAAACAACCCCAGTTCTCTCAGCTGCTCCTCACAAGACTTGTGCTCTAGACCCTTCACCAGCTTTGTTGCTCTTCTTTGGACACGCTCGAATAATTCAATGTCCTTTTTGTAGTGAGGGGTCCAAGCTGTCAAGCATGCAGATTTATCAAGTTACAGATATCACCACCTTTGTTCTACCACACCTCCCACCTATCTCCTCACAGCTGGAAAAAAATGGCACTTCGTGATCCGATTCATTCCCTCAGCAACCTGCATGCAGTATTGGCTGCTCAAGAAATGCAATGAACAGCAAAACTGAGTGGAGGGGAAGGGTCACCTCCTCATCCTGCTGACAGCACTCCTCCTAATGCAGTCCAGGGTGGTACAGGCTGGCTGCCTTTGCTGCAAGGGCACGTTACTGACTTATGGTCGATTGGTGCCCACCAGGACCCTCAGGTTTCTTCCCTGCAAAACTTCTTTCCAGATGATGGGTCCCCAGCGTGTACTGACTGGTGTATGAGGTTATTCCTCTTCAGGTGCAGGTCTTTGCATTTCTCTTTGTATCACTCTTTTTAAAAGGACAAATCACTCCAAATAAAATGCTTAACCTGTATATTCAATTTACTTTAGGTGGTTGGAATGTGGATTCTCGCATTTTATGTCCTTGGCACAGTAGCAGGTGAGACACTGCATCTATAAAAACTACCACTAGAGGGTGAATTCAGATGAAATAATATATAGGAGATGATGACTGGCATTTTCCTTTACACTGAAGTTGTAGTATGATTTGCAGGTCATTGTATGACAACGTCTGTTATTGTGCATAGAACTAATGTTAAAAGGTTCTGCTCTGTTTAAATTTTATTACTAAGAATACAAGAGACATAACACTGTGCTGAAAATTCATGCAGAGGTTCAGACACGTGTCCTACTTCTATCAAGACAGTGCATGAGCTGTCTTTACAGGACTACTGTATTCAAAGAACTGCTCAGCAATAGGGTGCTTTGCACAACAGACAGTGATAAAACATAAGTTGAGCATGAGCAAGAGACCCATTTGATCTAGAAAAAGCTACTATACTGAAAGAAATTGTTTCGTTCACAGTACAAGGTTACTGCGTAGATCTCCTTCATTCCTACAAACAGACACACAATGCTTTGGAGTAGGAAGCATGTAGGAGCAATTCTAACAAGCACTTCTTAAAAAACTTTTTTAAAAGAAATTGAATTAATGCTTTACAAGACTAGAAAACGTTGTCAGTGGTCTTTATTTGGTTTATCCTCAAATTATTTAGCTCCCACTGGGTTACCTGCTTCAAGTAATATCCATAAAGGAAACAGGAATGAATCTCAGTTTCAAGATTAATCATAAAATGAAATCCTTAGTTTTCTTGCTCTTCAGACTGTTGTAGTCTCAAATACATCATCAAGCATAAGAGAGTCCAACATATAAACAAGTCGTTTCTTCTACTCTAGGTAAAGAAGTCTGCTACCCAAGGCTTGGCTGCTTTACAGATGACCCACCCTGGTCTGGGGTACCAGGGAGACTTCTGACAGGTTTGCCTGAATCTCCAGAACATATGAACATCACCTTCTCTCTCTACACCAGAGAAACAGGAAATAACTCACAGGTGACATTTATTTTTAACATCAAGAACTGGCTAAATATACAAGTGTTCGTTAAGTTGTTAAAAAGTCTATGTTAGTCATCATAGGCAAACAAGTCAGAATAAGATAATTTGAAGGTACAGTGATGAATATACTTTTGGGGTAAAGCACCAAAAAAGCCTTGTGAATGAACTGTAGGAAACAACAGCTTTCCTGGCATTTTCCTGCACAAGACCACCCTTTGTACGCCTTTAGGTCTCTGAGGAAAGTTGAAGACTCGTTCAAATAAACAGCCTTCTGGGAATTCAGATAGGAGAGCAAATGCTGCTGTCTCACAGGGAAGCTGAGCTAGGAAGATACGTGACTTTAAAAAATAAAAGTCTGAATAAGGTTGATTTTATGCAATTTCCAAGCCCACATTCCACCTTGAAATCTCAGTGACTTTACATTTTTATCTGTGTCTCTGCACTCTGAAAATAAGACAGAACTACTCAAGTTGTTTATGCCCTGAAATACTGAGCAGAGCAATGTGGAGGAACCTGTAAAATCAGGAGCTGGGACCACATCACTTCAGCAAATACTTATGAAGCTGCTAAAGCCCTTCCAGGCTCCCAAACCCACTGTCCCTGACCTGTGCAGGGATATTTAGGATTCCTCTGGCATGAGCTGTGATGTCATCACCGCTGTTGCAGACATCATTGCTTACAGCAATCCTGAGAATCCAACTCAGGCTCTCTAAAGATAAGAGGTTATACCTGTAATAAACTTTTACGATCTGCAGAGCAGGGACATGTGAGCACACAAGATACATTCAGCAGCAGTTTACTCAGCATTTCTTTTGTTGATAACGTAAGTCAAAAACACCTTGCACTACTTTTTGGCCACTAAACTTAAATGTATCTGTGATCTAGGGCACAGCCCTTCTACACCCGAACTCCCCGAGCTCATATCACAGTCCCTGTATTTGTCTGAAAACAATACAGATGGTCAGAAATCATTCTCAGAGAAAAAGGAAAATAAATAATTAATCAGCTTACAGCAATGCTTGAAGAGCAGCTTCACCCCTATTCCACACAGTTCTGGCATGAAATTCTTTCAGCCTTTCTGGAGTAGCTAATGACAAAAACAGGCATGGAAACATCACCGATCCAAAAAGAAAAAAAAAAAAAAAAAAAAAAAGTGTTGCTTAGATGCAGAGCAACATGTTGAAGCCAAAGGTGATGCCAGTAAAACAGCAATCAGAACCAGGAGATGTGGGGCCGGTGGGCTGCTCTCTGTAGGAACTCACCCAACTCAGGCCAACAGGCATCGGTGAAACACTGTGGCCCTTTGAGGTTGTTTCATATCCTGCATAAGGGGGTTCTTCCTATGTTAAGACAAATAGACAGGAGCAGCAGAAACCACACAAGCAAAACTTCTTTGAAAACCATAGTGCAACTAAGAGAGGTGAGATACAGGGGTTCCTGAGTTCCAAAAATCACAGACTTTATCCATTCAAGGTAGTCTCTTGAGTTCTACACAGGGGATGACCTGCATGATTTTTTTTAAATGTTTGAAAGTATGAATAGATAAAACTTTTTTTCCCTTTTTTTTTTTTTTTTTTTTTTTTTACACACAGGTGATCTCAGCAATAAACTCCTCAACCATCCAAAAGTCACATTTTTCCTCACGTAGAAATACCTCCTTCATCATTCATGGATTTGGCAGCACTGGAAAAAAAGGCTGGGTGGTAGAAATGTGCTTGGTATGAGCGAGTATCCTCTGATTTTTATCAGCAATTGTTAACTACAATCTGTCAGTGTCCTTCAGGCACCAATGTTCACCTGCCATTTTGCAATTAGGTAGTAGCAGATACCAACCAAGAAGTAAATGTCACAAAATCCAAAATATTCCCACTCTGGAAGATGCGGTGTAGTCAAGGCTTCTTAGTCATCTCTAACATTATGTTTCTTCAGGGTTTGCATCCCCAAACCCTACAGATCAGATGGAAGCAATAAACTGAACACAGATGTCCCCAGCCTCTACACCAGTGTCAGGATATCAGAATAGACACAACCAATTCAGTGCTTCTCCCATGAGGACCACAGAACTGTCCTTCAGTCAAAAGGCCTTCCTGAGTTGCAAAGCTCAAGCTTTAGTGTACACCTCTATTCTGGTTCATCACTATTCAGTTCTAAAAAATTATTAAAAAAAAAAAAAATGAAAACCATTAAAAAAAAAAAAAAAAGCTTTTTGTTTGATTAGAGAGTGTAATGAAAGAAGGATTTCAGATATGAAATGTGGAAGGTACCACAAAACCAGTACTAAGTGTACTGTGTCAGTGACAGCCTTGGCTCTGATAGATAAGCAAAATCTACTCTAGTTTCTGCTTCTTCCACCCTGGCAGAGAAAAGGACCACTGAATAATAAGTTGCAGATCTGCAGCGTTATTTTGGTTCATAAATCTATGAAAACTTTTAATCTAAAATATTAAATTTCAATTTTTTTTCATTTGAGATGAAACAGCAATTCTATCTGCTTCTCCACACTACATGTTCCAGGATTCCAATGCTCTACCTCTTCAAGCTTCTGTTTTCCTTGTCATTCACCTTCAGCTGTTTATCATGGATTAATTTTTGTTTCCACTCCTTGTTCTTTCTCAAAAATTAAGTGAGCCTTAGTCACAGAAAGCTACAACTGTAGGCTTTAATACACGATTCTTCCTGTGGAAATACCACTGTTCTCCACAAGACTCTGACCAGTACTGAAGCAACAAACACGTTAGCTTTCTTTGCTGAAAGAGAAACTTTCTACTCTACTCCAAACCTTTACAGTCTGACATGACTTTCTCAGTTTTAAAGGCACTTGGTAAATAAGTCTACTTCCTATGCTATTCAGTTAAACTACCAACATCCCTCAAAGAAGTCACATACTGCACATAGAAACTACTATGCAGGTGTGTGGCTTTTCCAAATTATTTGAAATACCTATACAAATGGTTTATAAAGCAAAATATTTTATTACAGTCTTCCGTAACTGATACTTTTTGGCATAGGTTGTTACATTCTGGTTTGTAAGAAGACACGTATTTCAGTGTGGTACGAGCTACAGAGAAGAGTCCTGTTTAGTAAAGAATGAAAAATTCCATTATCATATTACCTTTCAATATTTATTCTGATTTAAGTTGAGTCTGTTTGTTGTTTTTGTCTCCTTAAATACTTTGCTTTATGTGTTCCCACATCAGCTGTTACTGGAAGTGGAAAATATCAACTGCATTGCTGTCGATTGGCAACAAGGTGCGAACGGCACCTACGTCAGTGCGGTGAACAACATACGCGTGATTGGGGCTGAGGTTGCTTATTTCATAAAAACTCTCCAGGTAAACGAC